TATGATTTATATACAGAGAAGGGACGTTATTAAAATTCGTATATTTAAACCAAGGTATAGGTACTTATAATATATGTAAGATACCTACACCACAGTAGCGATAACAATACTCGCCGCAAGTACCTAGGTACCTTCTATAAACTATGTACCATAAAAATATGTAATAAGCCACTGCAACCAGCGACGGTTAACGATCCATCGAGGGGYGGCGAGCGGACGACAATATAACGATAGATAATTTAATACTAGCGGTGGCGTGCGATGACGACGACGGACAAGTCGTATTGACGAAACGACGTGCCCCCTCACCGCCGCTCCGACTGAACCACCCACAGTACCCGCCACCACTCAGCGACAGCAGCACCGTCGTCGGCGTTACGGGGGCCGGCATGGGCGTGACCTGATCGGTGGGCGGCGGCGGCGGCCACTACCGGGCGCGCTCTGGTCGCGGCCGCCGTCGTCGCGAGGTCGCAGCCAGCYGCGGCGCTAACCGTTTGGACGTTCAGTCGACCGACGACACCGCTACTGTCCGTGTTTCGCCGTGTATACGTGTTGATAATATTATAATAATATTAWTGTTGCAATAAAATAATATTATATTATCGTTTGCCGTTCGTAGTGTTCCCATAACGTTTAATAACACATTCGCCGGTGTTGCAATCGATCGAGTKTGCGCTTTTAATTGATCATATATTATTTTAAATTTCTCGCGTTCTCCAATTAAATATTTTTGATATTTTAATACACTTCTATTGGTCGTTTATAGCCGCACAAAAAAAMATCAAAATCGAAATTWTTCGTTTTATGAATTCGCGCGCATCGTCCGCTGCGGTCTACCGGTGATAGGTAAGCCGCGCGCGTTGAATGCGCTTTACAAACGGTTCGTGCGGACACACATGCTAGAACAGACCGGAGCAGCAAATATGACAGTCTTAACGCTCAACCATCTGTTGCCGCCGCCGCCGCCGACGCCGTCCGCCAACAGTGGCGGTCCGCAACCGCAACAGCAACAGCAGCAGCAACAACAGCAACGGGCAGCCGCCGGAGCTGACAGCAACGGCGCCGACGACGTGCAGCAAAACGGCAAGACGTCGCGTATGATGACTGTCGCGGCCGCAGCCGCCAACATGTCGACGGCGGCGATGATGATGGGCGGCGGTCCACCGACGGGCGTCGGCCACCACCACCACCAYCATCACCACCACGGCCACAACCATCACAGCAATCAATTGCACAACAATAACAATAACAACGATGACACGGCCAGCAGCCCACGGTCATCCGTCGTGGCGGCAGCTCGACCGTCCGGTCACATCAAGTTCAGCGTGGCCGCGCTGTTGGCYGACACTAGGCCTGTCCGGTCACCCACGCCCGGGTCCGTGTACGACGACGACATGGACACGCCGGACGACGACGAGGACGACCGCAACAGCGTGGACGTGGAGACGACCGACGGCGGCGTAGCGGTTGGCCGGCGGTGCTCGTCCAGCACGCCGGACCGCGGCCGCTCGCCGATGCCGCTTCACACGTCGTCGCCTCCGCTGTCGCATCACCAGCACCACGGCGGTCACCCGTTCCAGCAGCCCGGCGGGTCCATGGCGGCCCGCGCCGCGTTTATGATGTCCGGCGGCGGTGCGTCCGTCACTAGCGGCACCGGCGGTCATCATCACCATCCCGTCGCGCCGGTGCGGCCGACACCGTTCACGGCGTTCGCCGCGGCCGCGGCAGCCGCCTATTCGGCGGCCGGTATGCAGCACCCCGCTGCCCCCGGAGCGTGGCACCCACATTAYGCCGGTGCATTTCCTGGGTTCGGTTCCACCGGTCTCAACTCCGGATCGCCCGGTAAGTTTTCAAGTCAATACAATTATATCACATAATTATCTCTGAATTAGTTTAATCGCGACAAAATACATAATATTTATGTTTATATGAAATAATTA